GTCTCTCTCACTCTCTCTTTCAAAAATAAGCATTAAAAAAATTAAAAACTGAATTTGTAGAACTTTTTTACATACTGTGCATGTAGGTTACAGTTCAGATATATGTGTTGCAAACATTTTCTCTCCTTGTAGACCTTACATCTCCATTGTTTTAAAGACCTTTCCTGATAAGCAGGAAATTTTATAGATTTTGATGAAGTTCAATTTATCATTTGCCCTATAGAAATCTTTGCCTAATTAGGGTTTCAACAATACTCTCCTATTTTTCGTTGTTGTGGTTTCTGTTTTCCTAGAAGCTTCCAGAAGTATTTAACTGGAACAACTAACCTCCAGAATGCAAGTCCAGAATTCAGACTCCTCCAACGGCTGAGATGTCAAGTGAAATCTTAATGCACAAAGAGCATGTTGAGGGTTCAGTAGCTTTGTGGGCCCTGAGCACCAGGGTATCATCATTCACAGCATGACCAGCACGAGGAGTTTCAAGGGCCTAATTTTGGTGTTATTTTTGGAGATGACTTGGTTTTCTGTAGTTTTGGCTTTCTCTAGGATCAGAGTCATGCCTTGTAGCGAAGGCTGCCAAACTAAACTTTTCTCTGGGTGAGAAAGCACGTGTTTACCCACGTGCAGACCTGAGCTTTAGTGTCTTGCTGTAATTCCGTCTGTAAAACCTCTTCCTCAAATATTACTCTTTGCCTCCGTGGAAAAACAGCATCTTTAGCAGAAAGGACAAGTGGGCAAAAGTCTCCCTCACACTACCAGAGCGGTAGCATTTAAAAATGGAAGTGGCTTTTGTGACCTACTTTTCTTTGGTTTTAAAATAACAGCTCATAGATTTGCCTTTGTTTTTAATTCTTGGCCCTGTGACCCCTGCTCCTGTTTTCCTTGATAAATTCCCTTTCGTCTTCCACAGGCAACCATTCAATCCTGATCTTTTCCTAACGTTTCATCAAAATGGTTTTAGGTGAGTTACTGGTTCTCTAGACTGGTAATTGTTGGATTGAGAAGAAAAGTATTGCCAGAACTATGTGACCACTTGGATTTCCCAGTTTAAATTACTTTTATAGCTGTCTAATATTAATTACTACCCACAATCAGACAGTTTGTAGAATATAACACGTAACAGAGGCCCTGCCAATCCTCTTAAAAAGGGATTGTTTTGATTTTTTGTTGTTCTTGCTTCATAGCCAACTCTGAGTTAAAATACAACAAAAAATAAATCTTGCAGGCCACCTATTTGCCCGCTTAAACACACGTGTGTATACACACATATGTGTATGCATGCTCAAATCATAAGAGAACTAGTATAGAGAAAAGTCACTGTTTGAAAACAAAGAAGTAATTATATACCTTGAGAATTATTGCCAGGAACACGAAAAGAGACATTGTTATGTTATTTGCACAAATGAGGAAAGAACAGCTCTGTTAAAAAGGTTCTAGGAGCCTTGACAAAGTCTTGCTGGCCATGACAAAGAGATTGCAATCAATAAGCACACACCATGCAAACACTAATTAAACATACTTTGTGTTACTTTTCAAAATTTAGGTTTTCACTAATCTTACTTTTACTTAAGTACAAAAGTATGCATGCTTATTGTAACATTGTAAGCAATACAGAAATGCACACATTAAAAAAAATGTGGCTCTTTCCCCCAATAGTCCCATCCCTGAGGAAACCAATGTCAACAGTCTGTCGTGTGTCTCTTTTTACAAACACATAAAAACATATGCACACAGAATTTACTGTGTTTTTCTGTCTTTTTCTTTGAAACAGAAATTGAACTACATGGGTATTATCCTAAAATTTGCTTTTCTTTTTTGTTAATGTATCAAAGATATTTTTGAGATATATATTTGAATTGTTCTTTTTAATGGGAGCATAAAGGTAAATTTGCTCACTGTATTAGTCTGTTAGGGCAGCCATAACAAAATACCACAAACTGGGCGGCTTAAACAGTAGAACTTTATTTTCTCACAATCCTGGAGGCTAGAAGTCCAAGATCAAGTTGCTGGCAGAACCGGTTTCTAGCAGGGAGTCCCCATCAGTGTCCTCACATGGCTTTTCCTCTGTGCATTCAATTCTTAGTGTCTCTTCCTCTTTATAGGACAAAGTGGAGTAGGGCCCCACCCTTCTGACCTCATTTAATCTTAATTACCTCCTTAAAGTTCCCATCTCCATCTATAGTCACAGTAGGAGTTAGGGCTTCAGCCCGTGAATTCTGGGGGACACATTTCAACCCATAATACTCATCAATTCCTTTACCAGTTGACACATCTGGATTGTTTATTGATCAATTTAGCTGTACCTTTCAAAAGAATCTTAATTTTAAAAAATGGTTCATAGTCTTCATACATAAATGTATATGTGCAAATAGAGAGTACAGGTAGGTACGTAATTATATACATAGAAGATAGATGATAGATAGATAGATAGATAGATAGATAGACAATTCTATAAAAAAGCACATGCATGTTATTTTTATTGAAAATGCTCAACTCATTATTACTAGACTTATTGAAAAAAAGAAACATGAAAATAAAGGAACTGCTAAACTTTTGAATGGTGTTTCTCCATACATAGCAGGAGTTAAAAGTTTCTAAAAGATCACTCAGATTTTTAAAATAGCTTGAAAAACCTTACAGGGCTATGACCATTATGCTACATTACATACTGTAATCTTAAGTAATATTTATCAATCTTTTATGAATGAAAAAGAGAAAGTTGTTAATTTAGTTATATTCCTTTTTTTCTGTTGTTAAAATTTATAAAATTTACCTCTTATCCTGAAACTATATTTCCCACATTCATCTAGGTCCAATATTAAAAAAAAAACGCATTCATTCATTGCCCACTAACAATATTTTTGTTAGGGCTTCTCCAATCCTGAATTATCTTGATTAACCTTTGAGAGCAGGAATTTGCCTTCAAGTATGCTTATCAAGGTGTGCTCAACATTCACTGAGCTCCTCATGTCTCAGAATCTACGTCTTTTGAAGAAAATTTGACTTGATGCAAAATATCTGGGTCATATTGTCTTTTCTTTATAAATTTGTAAATATTGCTCCAGTATCTCTTGACATCTTAAAGTCTGGTGGAGACTTTTTTCTCACTTTTACGTAAGCAGCTCTCTCTAACTTGTTTGTTATCCACATGCTTCCAGGTTTACTCATAAAACTTAGTAACTACATCAGCATACATATCAGTGTTGAATAATATTCATTTTTCTCAGATCACCCTCCCCCCAAACCATGAAATTTTTTAATAGGTTATCCTTCCATGACATTTATATATCTATATTGTATATAGATATGCATATGTATATATATGTATATATTCACATATATATATATTCCTTCATGTTTTTTATGCTTCTCCTTTTCACCTTCTTAAAGAGTGGCATATTATATATATATATATATATTCTCCAACTTTGCTTTTTTTTTCCTTAACTTAACAATATACCCTGGAAATCAGTCTATGATAGTAAGAAGAGATACCCTTCATACCTTTAGAAACTAAAAAAACAAAAGACAGTTTAGTGAGGTATTACAGACATGGTAAACCACACATATTTAAAGCACTTATATATTCTACAAATGTGTGTACTGCCCCCCGTGGTTCTTTCGTTCAGGATAATCATTTTGTTCATGAGCAGTTGCTCATTTTTAATATTGGGTTGTATTCCACTGTCTGGATGCACCACAATTCATTTATAAGCCCACTTTTTCATGGACAGTTAGGTTGTGTTCAGTTTTTAACAATCGCAAATAAACATTTCTGGATAGGTCTTTGTATGGATAGATGCTTCCATTTCTCTTAAGTAAAACGTAGGAGTGGAATGGTAGGAGCACACTGTTAAGTATATGTTTAAAGTTTCAAGAAACTACTAAACTGTTTTCCAAAGTGGTTGTACCATTTTACATTCCCATCAGCAATGTGTGAGAGATCCCGTTTCTTCACATTGTCGCCAACGTGGGGTGTGGGCAGTTTTCTTAATTTTAGCCTTTCTAGATAGGAGTGTAATGGTTATTCATTATGGTCTTAATTTGAAGTTCGCTACCCACTAAGGATGCTGAGCATTCTTGCGTGTTTATTTGCCGTCTGTATATCCTCTTTGAGGAAGTGTCTATTCGAACTGTTTGCCCATTTTTTAAATTAAACCTTCAATTTTCTTGTTATTGAGTTTTGAATAGTCGTCATATATTCTATGTACAAGTCTTTCAACCAATGTATGCTCTGCAAGTATTTCCTCTGTGGCTTGTTTCTTCATTTTCTTAATAATATCTTTCAAAGAGCAGAAGTTTTAAATTTTGATCAAAGTCCAATGTTATTTTTTATGTCATTTTTTTAAAATTTGTGAATTGTACTGTAGTTGTCATATCCAAGAAATGTGCCTAATCCTAGGTTACAAAGAATTTTGTTCTGTTTTCATCAATAAATTGTATAGATTTATACTTTACAACTATTATCCATGTTGAGTAAATTTTTGGGTATAGCGTGTGGTGTAAATTGGAGTGAAGCTTTTGCTGATTATTCTAGCCTCACTTTTGGAAAAGATCATGTATTCTTCACTGAACTGCTTTTGCAACTTTGTAAAAAAAAAAAAAAACTCTTTTCTATATGTGTTTGGGTCTATGTCTAGATTATATTCTGTGCCATTGATCTAATTCCCCAACTCTATCTTTACACCTATGTCACATTATCTTAATTACTGTAGCCTTATAAGTCTTGAGATCTGGTAGTGTCAGACCTCTAATTGGTCTTTTTAACTCTGTTTTGACTATTATAGGTTTTTGTGTTTTTATATGAATTGTCTAAAGAGCTATTAAAGAAAAAAAATCTCTGTTGGTACTTTGATTGGGATTTCCCTAAGTCTACAGATCATTTTGGGGACAGCTGACATCTTAAGTCTTCACACCTATGACCAAAGTGCAACTCTTAGAGAAAGAGAACCAAGAAAATATGTATATATAAAGAGATTTATTATAAGAAATTGGCTTACCTGAGTATGAAGGCTGGCAAATCCAAATTTGCAGGGTGGGCTGGCAGACTTCTGAAGATACAAAAGAGCTGAATCAGATAATATCACACACAAAGGCAACCTTTTAAGTATATGCACATTTGAGACATCTTATTTTTCAAAAACTTGTTTCTAAGTTGTTTGCTCGGAAATGGGACACACAGTAGCCATACAGAATGTTTAAAATAGCTGTAATGTACAGAATCCTTCAATAAGTTTACTTAAGGTATAGTTAATGGTAATACATTTTTTCCAGTAATTGTGCTTTTTAAACAACCACAGACTATTTCGTATTTTTATGAGAAAATTCATTTTGATCACCAAAGTAAATGATCTCTTTAAATTGAACAAATATTTATGAATTCCCAACTTAGTCTCAGAAATAATTTTAGATGATTTGTTTACATTCTCTAATTTAATCTTTATAATAACTGTGTAAGATGTAAATCGGGTATAATTATCCTTATTTCACATATAAAAAATGGAATTTTGAATAGTTTAAATAACTTTCCCACAGTTTTTCAGATTATGGCAGCTAAGATTCAACCCCAAGTCCCATTTTTTTTCCCATTACACTTTGTGGTCTCTTTCAGAAAATATCCACACATATGGCCCTGATGGCTGAACAAATAACTTTTTTGCTTCAGACCCTTGCATTTCCATAGGATCACATATATTCAAGTGACAGCACTTATCAGAATTCACTGCGCTTTAGCATTATAGGCCCCTCTCTCCCAGGAGACCAGGAGTGCCTTGAAAGTGGCATAAGAAAAGTCTTATTCACTTTTATAAGCTTCAGGGCAAATATTGCCAGTCACAGATGGGTATTTTGTACTACCCTCTCAGAAGGTTTTAATTGTCTTCTTGGTAGGTCTCTGAGAGAGTGTGTTGGGAGACTTTCTCCCCTATTCTCCCTTCACTTTCTGAGATATGATAGGGAAAGATAAAAGTGTACATTGTTTTATGATGAGACTTTTAGTGCAAGAAGAATAAAGGCAGATTGATCTTAATTTCCAAAGTGCTTGGGTTGGGAGAAAGGAACCTCAGACCAGAGACATTACTTGAGAAACCAGTTCCCGTGCTGGGGGATGAGAAGAAGAATTCATTCTCTTTCTTCCCACTTGTTTTTCTTCGCTCCTACCTGTACTATTACTGTAGATCACATCTCAGTGAACTAAGGATGGGAGTGTGTGTGTGTGAGGGACCACAGGCAAGTGCACAGAGTAAAGAAAAAGGAAGAGGGAGATAAATCTGAAGTTGTGTGGCTAAAAAAGAAAGGGAATTAGTGCCTGTGACCATTTTGTAACAGAGGTTGTTCCTGGAAATCTTTTTTTATGCAGATACCATCATCATGATGAAGAAGAGATATGATGAGGCAAAGTCTGGTTCATTAGTATGAACAATGATAATGAGGTTAAATGATAAGGGTAACTTGAGAGTTGATTATGTCCATAAGGCTTCGACAGGCTTGGATGTGGGAGGCATCAAGGCCGATGTTCCTTTGCTGATCTTGATGGCCAGTCCGATCTGGAAACCTTATCCTTTATAATAGTCCCTAAAGATGTTACCATAGTGCAAGAGTAGAGTGGTTGCCAAGATAGTGGCCAGAAGCTTAATTATAGAGATGAGGACATGGACTGAATGGAGAGGAAAAGTATGATATTATACTTGGCCATCTGGGAGTGCCACCAGGAGCAAGAGGCATGGCTGCCTTGGGCCCTCTACTGCCTTCTAATAATATGCCCACTTCCCTGATACAGCCTTAGGTTCCTCTTTTACTAGAATTAAGGTAATAGGTAGGCCCTAACTAGCCCAGATATTCTACAAGTATTAAGCAAATAAGTTCAGTTATAAATTTGGCAGTAACAAGAGGATTAATTTAACTCTTGGCAGTTTTTTTCTAGTAGCCTGGCAGATAGCCATGCGCATCAACACAATATGATACACTCAAGAATAAATATCAAGAGTATCTTTTACGTCGAGGACAATAGACCTCTAAACATATGCCATTAGAAACTTAAAGATGCCCTTACATATTTCTTGTACATGTATAAAAAGCCAGAATAGTGGGTGCCAAAGGGGGAACATGTTAAGTTGGGGAAAATAGAGGCTCAGAAATCAGTAAAAAGCATATGAAAAATTTAAAAAAAAATGAATCACTTACTCATAAGAGAGAGCAACATTAGAATAAAAGTAATCAGGTTTATTTCTATATTTGAAGCAATAAAATCCAAGGGGACAAATACCGTGTAATTTGTTACACGGTATCCACATAAATAACAAATACTTCAACTTCATCAGCCCTCCCCAACTGGATTTTCTCTTACGATAATATGCTGCTTTCTGCGTTGCTCAAGTTTTTCTCCTTGAGTCCTACGTAAGCTGATACTTTCTAGAAAGGAAAAGGTGTTTTCAACCTGAATGGCGTAGGGCTTAAAGGCAGAGCAGCTAGCTTAATTTAAAATACACAGTAGTAACCTAAAGTATAAATGTGCATGAGTCTGTACTGATACAAAAAATGATTAAGAAAATAAATAGGGAGAATGGACAAATCTCCCATACAAAAGGTTTCCAAGTAGTTTATGTAGATCCTCTGCCCTCAGGGAGGGGTAGCTTAACTTCCTACCACTTCAGTGTAGGGCAGAAGGAGAAAAGGGGCAAGAGGAGCTTCACCTGCAGAAACCTGCAGGTGGTCAAGGTGGTATCCACAGTGATGAGTCTTGTTGATAGTACCTAGTCCCTGATGTAATGGGATGAAAATGACGCTTTTCCTCTGTGATGTTAACCCCCGTCTAATCATGAGAAAAACAACAGAGAAATCCCAACTGACGACACTTTACTGTATACCTGACAAGTACTTCTCAAAACTGTCAGGGTCCTCAAAAACAAGGAAAAGTCTGAGAAACTATCACAGCCAGGAGGAGCCTAAGGAGGCAAAGAACTGGTGTGTCCTGGATGGGGTCCTCAAACAGAAAGAGGACATAGGGTAAAAACGAAAAAAATACCAGAAGTGGGCATGGACTTCAGTTCATAATAATGCATCACTATTGATTCATTAGTTGTGACAAATGTGCTATACGAATGTTAGATGCTAATAGTAGGTGTGTGGGTTGTATAAGAACTCTTGGTATTTTTATAATTTTTCTATAAGTCTAAAACTGTTTGAAAATAAAAAGCTTATTTAAAAATATGCAGAGGATGATTAGGGAAAATGCACAGGAACTAAACTATAAAAGGTCCTGTGAAATCATAGAGTATATACACTGGTCTTGGAGCTTGACTCCTGGCACAGAGCTCCTAACACCATTGTAATTTCTGGGAGCACTGGGAGCATCTTCTGTTCTAATATTTGGGAGTTCCTGACACAGAGCTCCCGAATCCATTGTCAAGTCCTAGATGTTAGCAGTGGCTTCTGTTTTAATGAGATGATCATCGGTGGGCTCCTGGATGGGGGCCGGTCACCAGAAAGACCACCACAATTGGCAGCTTGGAACATTCGGCCCTGCTCCCCATTCTCCAGAGAGAAGACAGGGACTGGAAACAGAAATACCAATCAGTCATTCCCACATGATGAAACCTCCATAAAAATCTCAGAAGCAAGAGGTTCAGAGAGCTTTCAGGCCGACGACTATGTGAAGGAGCTGGAGGTTGGTGCCCTCAGACGGAGCATGGAGGCTCTGAGCCCCTTGCTCCACACCTGCTCTAGTCACCTCTTCCATCCATTTACATCAAAATATAAAGTAGTAAGAAAACTGTTTTTCCTCAGTTCTGTGCGTTGCTCTGGCAAATTCATCCAATCGGAGGAGTGGGAACCTCTGATTTTATAGCTGATGGACTATAATTGGCAACCTGGACTTGAGCAAGGGGTCATGGTCTTATGGGGCTGAGCACTTAACTCAGGTAGATAGTGTCAGAACTGAGTTAAACTGTAGGACACTCAACTGGTGTGACAGAATTGCTTGGTGTGGGAAGAGTGTATTGGATTCTTACATTTCATTAAAAAATTCCATTTTTCAACTTATATTTTGCCAGTTTGATATTCTGTCCTCCCATGTCTCTTCTCAAGCCCCCGCCTTTTTTTTTTTAATGTTTATTTATTTTTGAGGGAGAGCAAACAGAGGGTCAAAAGGGGAGGGTCAGAGAGAGAGGGAGACACAGAATCTGAAGCAGGGTCCAGGCTATGACTTGTCAGCACAGAGCCCATCGCAGGGCTCAAACTCACGAACCATGAGATCATGACCTGAGCCGAAGTTGGATGTTTAACTGACTGGGCCACCCAGGTGCCCCAAACCCCCATCTTTCTTGTAAAAGTTAATAATAAATACCTATGTGTCTGAATCTTCATTTCCAAACATTTTGTATTATGTTTCAATACTTCCAAAAAGGGCTGATTAGAAACTTCGTGTGTAGACACAAAGGCTTTTGCAAGGGGTGGACTTCACTATGTGATAATTAAACAACAAGGTGTTGTTATTAATTGAGGGAATCCCAAGTGTCACTAAGTGTAGGTCTAATCTCTTGGGCAATACTTTAGCCCAGAGAAATTGTCTAATTTTCTACATGGGGATCTAAGCTAAGTCTTACCAGCAGTGCTCTGGAAGCTGAGTGGGGACAGGAGCTGGTCTTGTCATTTATTAGTAAATTTTCTCATAAACTCTTGTTTTGGGAGTGGCTCCTTGGCATGAGTACTTCCTGGATACCCTGAATTTAGAGTTTCTCTTGTTCAATCACTCTGGAGAGTCAACCACTTGCTATCCCAACTCCCTGGGAAAGGAGTAACCTCTTGGCTGCATAGAATTGAGAAAGGAATATGATTGTTGAAGACTTTTAATCATTTTTTTCAGAACTAAAACCAGTCCTCCTGCATTCAGACCTACTAGCACCTTTACCTTCAAAGGTACCAGTCACCTCCAATTCTTGAGGCTTTTTTAAGTAGCGTTGTGAAATTTGGCTCCATTTTTTGGCATTGCTGAGCATGTACTTAGCTTCTTTCACAATGTTAAGTCAGGTACAACTTGTTCCTCTGTTTTCCAGCTTTCAAAACGTTGAT